TTAGAATCCCACCATCATCCTCTGACTTTCCCCGTTTCTTTATTGTATTACACACACATCTACTTGAAGAACAGCAGATGGGATGCACCCCGTAGTCGCCAGGGTCTGTTGTCCAGTGATGGAAATCGGTAACCTAAGCCCCGAGACTTGGATTGGCGAACCACATAAGGCCGCGCTAGGTTGAGCGAGGTTTTGAACCAGACAATAGCAGAGCTGTCCTCCGATTATTCAGTTCCTCCTTCCTGAAAATGGTCTCATTGTATTTTCAATGAAAGGAAGTAAAAAAGGAAGAGATTTTTGAATATCATTATTCTGAGCTTGTCTTCAGCAATTAACGCCCAGGTCTCAGCATTCAATTGTAAAGCCTGCGCCAAGCCGCTGACGCATTTACTCGATCAGTGACAGGTTAACAATTGCTGCGAGGACATGTGTGTTTGTAGTTGGGGGACACCAAACAGTTCGTTTGTATGAAAGTGCCCTTTGAAATGACTGTTTCACATGATAATTTTGATTATCTTGTATACTGACGTTCACCATTTTGAAATTTTTTTAAAGGACAAAACCATATCTCCGAGTATCACCTTTTGTTGTGGCAATCGATCCGCTCAAAGTGCTGTTACTACTCCCTGATCTGCATCCTCGTCCTCGTCATAGTGACAGTCGTAGTCAATCAAGATTACAAAATTCTGCCATACAACCTGCAGAATTGGGTGTGTATCTGGGACAGTTCCTGTTCCTATATTCCAGTGTCTACAGAAGGGTGCTAGTTATCGGTTACATACGAATCAAGTAAACCGCACTATTGTGCATTTCTGAACACTAGCCAAATCCGTAATGCGTTATTCAAAATAAAATCCAGTTGTTTAACGGAATCTTGTTGGAATTCTGACTTACCAGAAATGTTCTAGCTATTTTCGTCTACTCAACAGGGTGTGACATTCATGTTGTCTAACTTTAACTTTAAATCGTCATTTTTACAATACAGTGAGTTCTAGTATCTCTGAACGTCTATCTCGTTTTTTTTCCGATCACGGTTCAGAGTTGTGAATACAAGCACTACACTGGACATATCTGTTTTCGTGAATTAAGTGTCTCCAATTGGATAGGATTTTTTCTCTCAAATGCTCGCACACAAAATTTTCCATAGAGGGGTATCACGCCGATTGTTGGTTTCGTTTTGGCATCTCTTAGTCATGTGATTTCAGATAAATATTTAAGTTGGCTAACGTAGAATTCAGTGCAGATTACTATGTGCCACACGGTTTCCGAATTATTCATCGCTTACTTTAGTCAAGGCAGCTATCCCAATCAAAAACGATCCATTAAAGATTCACGGGGTCGGTGAAGAGTTTGATCAGTAAATACATGCGTTTTGTGGTTTGGTTTTTTCATACTTACAAGGAATATGTCATAATCCTCTATCTGATTGATTGTCGATTTCGGCAAGTCAAATAAATCATAACTACTGAACTTGAGTTTGAAACATCGGTCATTGGACAATTATTTCCAAACCCAGTTACTATCGCTTCCGTTATCTCGCCTGTCGTCCTTGGCCCTTTTGCACCGTCTGCCTAAAAGTACTGCGATGCCCTCATATTCTGTTTCACCCGCCTGTGTACTAGTACGGATTGTTTGCAGTCGTCTCGCGCGTACCCAGCTCAGGCATGGGATTCGCATAGATATGCCCAGCTGACGACTTCACTTCAATTGGATTTATCATTGAAATTGATCACAAGAAATGACTGTTGTCATTTACGAAAGAAAGCTTTTCTTTTTTACGAGTATTCTGCGGTCGCTTATCCGTCTTTCCTAGTTCATTAAAAGGAGTGCTTAGTGTTACTTTAGTTTCGTTGGAGTCCTATAACCGAATGCCAGCTATGATATTACCTTCATATCTCACGCTTTTTTGAGTTCAGGCTATATGCCACATACATCATGGTACCAAATTTTTATAACAAAGGAATCCTTCAGAGATCTACTCTTTACCGCATTGCTGCCAGGCTACTGAAATGGAAGCAGAGGAAATTTCTTGGTACATACACAACCGGAGTGAGTCTAAACCCGACGGAGCAGTGTATAACAATCTCCACTACGGCCTGATGTTCGATTCATCGGATCACACGCCTTTTGGATGAAGTCAAACATTTTCTTCATTAAAGGCCATTTGATCTAATATGTAGTGCTAAACGTATAGTATGAGTTCACAAACCTGTTAACTACGGGCACACCACTAGGTTTCAAATACGAGAACGACCATTTGAGTGGGTAATCTTGACTAAGCGAACATTATATTATATTTCACATTTGTCTGAGGACAGACTTTGTGCCAAGCAAATCATAGTACAATTTTCTTTACCAATAAGAAAAACGTTCCATGCTTGGCTTGTGGGCTGAATACTGTCAGGTTGCTCAGGTCAAGGCAGATGAATTTTCTTGAGGAATCCACAACGGGAGCCTTCGGTTAGCCGAAGCCTGACTCGCAAGACAGCGGGGCGGTGTGTAAAAACCGCAAGCTATTGGGGGCCAGTGCCCAGTTAACTGCATCATACGCCCTTTGGACGGGGTCAAACGTCCTAGATGCCCAATCGAGCTGTTGACCACCGCCACACCGAAGAGTGTGGATGAGTGTGGTTCGTGCGCCTCCTCTTAGTTGATTTGAAATCAGGGTTTTGGGCCAACTCCCCTAGGTGAACTGCCAGTGGTCCAACAACCCGGATGTCGGCTTTTCGTCCTCTCACTTTGGTTGGAAGACGCCTCTGCCACGAGAAGGAAGTGAGTACGGCTTCCTCAGCAGAGGTCATTTCAGATACTTGGTCGTATGGGAGCATTTCGCGAGGTGCTAGGGGTGACCAGTCGCAACCCTAGACGCCCACCCTCTACCATACTAAGGCTTTCGGAGGTAAGTGAGCATTGCTTCATCCAATAACCAGTAAGAGCGGTGGATGTTCTTCGCCTACTAAGCCATCTTTCCAGCCAAAAATCATGAATATTCACAGAATGCATATTGACCGGCCACTAAGTTATATCATTGCTGATAACGTTCTACTCCACAATTAATATTGCACCGTGCGGTTGAAGACTCACCCTGAAAGAATAAAATACGAGTAGTAATTACCATGCATTTATTACCATATTCCCGTAGTTCTGCATAAAAGAATCCAGAAGTGCAACCTATCCTCACATAGTAAAATGTTGTCTACAGTAGGTGAATAAAGCAAAATGAAAAGAAACATTAAAAGAAACCCCGGGAAAAGCTGTTTTTTACGTTCGATTACTACTAAATTGATTGAAAATGTTGGTGGGTTGGAAAAGCTAGGATGCACTGGACAGCTGTTCCCACCTGGTTGAGTCCCATCAGTAGTGGGCATACCGAAAGCATGCTGTCCACTATGCCACACTATACATATATATGTATATATATATATATGTGTGTGTGTGTATATATATATAATATGTATGTATATTTCAAAATTTTCAGGTACATGGCTACTTTTATGTCTCCTTGAGAACTGTTTATTTTTTGATTCAACCGTATAGTTCTTGAGTTATTTGGTAGTTCTATTAAATGGCACAAAGTCGTGCGACAACCTTTTTTGCGTAAATCATAATTCTGGAATCCTCTATTGTGTTCATAATAGGAGCGTTGAAGGAACGTCCTTTGACAAGCTTCATTTCTGTGCTTTGTTATGTCGTCTCAAAATAAAAAAAACTACGGATCGGTAGAATAAGGACATTGTCGCCTTGTTACGCTTCAATAATATAAATGATGTCACCATGACATTGATCTGAAGTCAGAATTGTTGCAGTCACTCTTTCAGGGTGTGCCTTGTTTTTTTCTGCACCTTGTATGGGAATATGTCTACGCACTACGATGCATTTAAAATGTTTTCCTCCTTCCAATCGATTGAACTATCTCTGCGATAAGCTTGTTGGCTCATTAGTAACAGTCTAATATTTTTCTGAAATGTGGTTTTGAATCCACTATACGGCGATAAAGCTACTTAGTATGCGTCTCGTTTGACGAGAATTTCTTTCTTTTTTCCATTGCTCTTTCATATGCTTGGTGATTCCTAGCGGTAAACTCATCGTGAATGCTATTTTACCGTGTTTCTTTGTCTTAGTACTTCTTCTCTAACATGTCTGCATTTTGTAAGTTATACTTCTTAAGGCGTGTGAGGGATTCAACATGGTCTGTATGACTTCAGAATCTAAACTACCATCGCTATTAGCGCACTCTGGTATGGTATCCCTAAGTTCCGGATCGTCACTATCCCACTTTTCCCACAATAATTCTCATTTTGAGCTGACCAACTAAACGGTTTTTGTTGGTGCATGCCTCGCACAGTCTGTGATCAGTTTATTATACATGATAATTTCTAACCAATGAACCCGCTCATGTCTTGCTCTCTCAACAATATTTCGTTGTTTTCAATTCTATCTTTCACAGATTGGATCCGGAATCGGAGCCACTCAGTGGGGCTTCATCGAACTTCCTACTCTCCGCCTCTGATCGTCAATCGTACGGAAGTTTATCTCGCCTGACTTCGCCTTCTTCGTTGTACAGTAATACCAATAACGGCAATCATCATAACGGTGGAGGTAATACAAACCCTTTCACCGCTTCCACGAATCACTTCAATCACAGTATCCACTCTTCGCTTCGTGCCCCTACTCCATTCAATAGCACCATTCGCACCAGTGACACATGTCGACTATCTGAGGAAAGTCCAACTTCAGAAGCTCAGGTTGCCGCAGCTGCTGTAGCTGCAGCTTTTGGGTTAGGTCTATCTTCTGTTCGGTCGGTTGGAGCTGGCCAGTCGTTTCAACAATCTGGTCATGGAATCAGTTTTGGTAGATCGGATGGTCTCCTCTCACCCGGTTTGTCCATAACCGGATTACATGTTGGAAGCAACACCACGGGGAGCCAAACCACTGCACCCAATCAATCTAGTGCGCCTTCAACCACAACCCAGTCTGCAAACTTGGACGGTCGTTCCACGGAACAAAATCTGGATCCAGCGAGTACAATCGACCGCCCCTATCGATGCGGGACTTGTTCGCGCAGTTTCGCTGTGAAAGCCGGTCTGGTACAGCACATGCGCACGCACACTGACGAACGTCCCTACCCGTGTCTACATTGCGGTCGAGCCTTCAAACAAAAAATTCAACTGACAACGCATATGCGTGTGCACAGTGGTGAACGGCCTTATGGTTGTCGTCTTTGTGGCAAGCTGTTTCGTCAGCAAAGTCACGTGGTCCAACATCTACGCACACATACTGGAGAAAAACCGCATAAATGTTATCAGTGCGGTAAAGCTTTCCGACAGAAGTACAGTTTGATTTCACATCAACGACGTATGTGTCGGAATCGAGCGGCTTCAAATCCCATCGCGGCTGGAATGACTATGTGGATTAGTCCCGGTGTTGGAGGAGATACTTGCAATCTTGTTAAGGAGTTCTCTCCGGCTAAGTGTCACCTCGTACCTACAGCAAGTAGCAACAGCAGTCCCAGTAGTGCGGCCGCGATTTCAACCCCCGCGGCTGCTGCCGTCTCTATACATTCTCCGTTTTCGCCCTTTCTCTCCTCGCCTTCTGTGTCCACGACTATTACGACGACGACAGCGAACCAAACATCGGGCTCACAGAATGTTTCGCAGTTTCATAGCCCCCCATCCCATCGGCCTCAGTCTAGTCATCCGGATGATGATCGACATTTGAATGCTGTCCATGGACTTTCACGCAGTTCGGTGACGGCGGCCTACAGACACCGTACAGATACCATTGGATCCGGTTCTGATTCTCATTTGGTTCATCTGTGTTCTGATCGTGAGTCGGAAGAAGTCGAGGAACCGATATGTTCTCCTCGCACCGCCCACATGAACGCACCAGCAGCTCTGGGACTAAGCTAATTGTTGTCACCTGACCAATCAGAAGTCACGAGTCGTAGTTCCTGTTCGCATTCCCTTTTCGTTAGTACACACTCGTGGGTGCTTGCGTGATTTATCTCCTCCCAGAACACAGTCATCGTTCTTATCATCTTCACTTGCACATTCACCTTTCTAAACGACCTCTCCTCTGGTCTTTGTGCTCCCTCACTGGTTCACAGTAACGGTAGTTCCCGTCCGTCCGACTTCTGAGTCTTAATTTTGAGATCCATAACTTCGTTTAATTGCCTCGTTCTGACCAAGTTTTGCCGTTCTTTCTTGTGCTAGTGAATACGTTTCACTAACGTTGCTGTGTTTCAACATTTTTGGACCAAACAAGGCCTTGCCCCCAGTACAATTAGCATCGCGAATAAAAGGTTTGTTTTTGTGACTTAAAATGTCCCCATCTCGATGTCATTTGCCAACCCGTTTCCGATCATCACATTCAGAAGAAAAACTTTCACTATTTGTCAGTCTGTCAGCCAAACAGGCAATCTTGTGCACACGGGACACTAACCAAATCTTTCCATGCCAATATACCCGGTTCGACTGTAGAAATTTTCTTATTCAGCTTACAATTTCTTCATTCTTTCTCGGTCCTCAAACAGTTTTACTTAATTTGATTTAGCTGTGCTCAGATTCTCCACGAGCAAGTTTTCATCGGTTTTTGTCTTGTGTATACTTGCACACACCTATCCTACTTTTGACGTAGTCTTTTGTGATCTTCTAACTCATGGATAAGGCCTTTCAAGGACTCATTCGTGTCGTGCAACATGCCTTGCTTTGGCGCTGACTTGTTTATATGTTCGCCTGCTACAGCTGCTTCATTGTGCCACAATGCCCCTGTTCACCAAGTCCATCATTTTTTGCTCCCCGCGTGTTCGTCCCAGATATCATGATACTCATCCCTTGCTTCTTCTTGTGCCACCTACTCACACTTCTAGTCCATCGGTCGTTAGGCTATCTATCCACACCCATCTTATTCTGTTCAATTATTATTCTTTCTCCGCAGATTTTGTACATTGACTTCTTACAATATGCAATCCCTTCCGTTCTTGGCTGTGTTTGTTCTCCCTCCCCTTCTACACGTTTGGTAATTCTTGATCGAATATATCCACGTGAGTGTTTTTCTTCCAGTCCCCCTCTTTCTTGCCTGGACTCAAAGCGACCGTTTCCTGCTATTTGCCCACTCCAACCCATTTTATCCTGTTTCTATTGTGTACAACCTAGTCCGACTCAATCATATGTTCACATTTTCTTGTTTTGCAAAGAGACTTTATTTTGCATACCGTCCCTTGGACCTGGATCACAGAACATCCCCATGCATTGAGCAAACACCCTTTCATCCCCCTCCAGTGAAACCAGAATAAATACACACATCTGTGACGTGGAAAGTCACACTATCATTCACTCTTCTGGTCATCCAGAAAAGCAACTCTTAATTCACTCTACATTTTATCTGTGCAACACCCCTGCATCGTTATCTGATATGTATGGAGACCATGCTTTTATTTTGTAAAGTGTTTTTTCTTTCGACCTTAGTTATTGCGCCTCTTTTGATCCTCTTTCTTAGGGTGGTTACCGGCCTCAGGAAAACGTTCCAATTTTTCTAATTTCTGTCTGTGCACGAGAGATTTTAGCTGGGAATAGTTGAGCATTATGCTGAAAGCCTGCTCCCATTCATTATTTGAGGCAGTCTATGCATATTGGAAAAACTTCCCACGTGTGTAGTAGAAATATGTTTTATCCGTCATTGCGGAGGATGTTGACTTCAGGTAACTATGAAATTTCCCGTAGGAATAGACCAACTAACGCTCGTCCCGGTTTAGTTGATCAAGAATCGAGTACATCATGTGATAAACACGATTGTTCATGTCTAAGACTCACTGTTTAGTATATATCTGTCGAAAAATCTGCACACGTGAGCTACGGGGCGTATTTCTACTAGTATCCTTTAGCTATGGTCGGCAAATCATTAAATTATCAGCATTTGGGTCTTCCCGACCCAGAACTCATCACTGACTAATCGATACATCTTACTCCCCATTATCCGTCGTCATTTACGATAAACAAATGGGCAACAAGAGAAACGGCCTTCGAACCATGCTAGATAAACGAACGATGGCCCTTCAGATTTTGGACAACCTGGGTGGTGTGATTCAGAGAAAGACAAGGATTATATTTCGTATGTGAAGCATATCGGTTATTCTCATTTTCTGGGATCTTGTACCTAAAGAATGTTCGTACCTGTTGGAATAAGAAACTAGTGATAACAATGGAATACAACTGCCGGAGCGCACCCCAGTTGTAGATCTACCTGTTGAGTATTGCATCTTTCCGGTCCCAGCGTCGACCTGTTTGTGTTGTATGATCTCAAAACATTGTAAGATAACCCGCCAAACATATCTATGGTTCCTTAGGGTGTTCAGCATGGCCAATTTTATCAATGCTGGCCGTTTCATTATGTTAACCAATGGTCTCTGTTTGAAGTGGTTACCGAGTACCGTGGGACGGGCTTTTAAATCTACCGCAGAACTCACGTACATTACAGAAATTGACGACTTCCCTATGTAGATGAGGTCATCAACAATGTTTTCGCAGCCATTTGTAGTTTGGTAATCCCCGCTTGACCCGGGTCTCTATGTAGATCCTGTCCAATACTATCGGACCATGGGTAATTAGGGGGTCGGCTGACACTGCTATCTTCCGTGTGATTAATGGTTTGAGACATCTCAGTCATCCAGATGGGACCTTCTCTTTGTCCCTCATTATACTTGCTCCGTTTTTATTCCAGTCCATGTGAACGCGTTGATATGTTCTTCAATTACACACTAGAGTTCCTTACCTCGTTGGGGTTCAAGCCCTGGTGAATTAATTATTCTTGAGTTGTTTGAAGATTTTCTGTGTAACAGTAGGAACAGTAGTCCGCGCTGACAATTACGGGTTTCCCTAGGTGTAGTTATAATGGCAGTTGTTAGTCTCGATACTGGATTCCCAAATTTTTCCATCCGATAACTTTCCTCTGCCAGAAAGCGATTCCATAGGTAGTAAAACGGAACAAAGCTGGGAAAGTATAGAAATTCATTCGAACAAAACATGTGCTTAGTAAAAAGGGAAAAAGAACATGAGAACATAAATACGCAACAATTGGTTGAATAGATTGTTGTCAACCCTCTTGATTAGTCATCAGTTACGGCTAATAACCTAGTTTTTTTTTCTGATTGACTGTCCTAAGCAAAGCAGCTTTCAGGAAGTATGGTGATTCCTTAACAACCCTCTATCATTGCATGATGTCTTCATGAAGGCAACCGTGATGTCACTTTTCCTATTCCCCAACTTTAGGATATCCAGTCCAATTATGTGCTCTAACGAGAGCTCCGGAGAAATGATGAACTTTGTAGCGACAGGATCAACCCTCTCGGAGCATATACTTTCTCTTATTCGGGCAATATTCTATCGTACCAAGGCCACTTAGTTGTTCACCACACTTCCGCGTTGATTTTTGGCGTTCCTTTATCAACCTACGGAAACCTGGTGATTGTTACCACAGCTAGCGTTCCTCATTTCGAAGGGTCTTTCAAAGCATTACTCCTTTATGTCAGGGTGCTAACACGCCTGTGCAACTGCATACCACCCGGCTGTAAACAACCTGATGGGAAGTTTCCACCGATAACTCAAGGCAGCCCTCGAAGTTCATCCCAGTTCAGAATGGCATGAGGCTCTTCCGCGTATCCTGCTGGACAATCGGAATGCCATAAAAGCCAATTTGCATACCACACCGGTGGCCTTGACCTACGACCGCACAATACGTCTTCCCGGGTAATTAATTTTACCCAAGCTTCGGCGTACTTTTAACTATGCCGATTTCGAACAATGACTCGCGCACCACATGCATAATGTGCGCACGTCTTTCTTCGCTTAGGCAGCACCCACACATTTTTACGACACCGGACCACAGTGTGATCACACGTAAAGATATGTATGCAATTTTAGGGGTTAGCGGTTAGAAGTCCGTCAGTTTAGATTAACTCAAACCGGCGTTCTTAGAAGATACAACTTCTTCTGATGAAACAACTCCAGCTACAGATTCTACCACCACACCCTCTGAGAATCGTCCCTTAACAGTACCCTCGATTAGGGCAAAGTGTGACAGTCACGACCGCGAAGTCCGTAAATCGGTGCGTTTAAAGTGTGAATATAGCTGCAAATTTTCAGAAATCTAGAAGACAATAAACATCGCACCCACACTCAGTCTTCTTGGATCAGAGGATCTCTGCAGTGAGAGGGTCAACTCTCTCCACCTATTTACGTTTCCCTAATTTGGACCTTGTTGTTTTATCGCATTCTCAAAGAAATCTTGGCACTCCTCATATGTAACATGTAATTAGTAGAATAATCTTACATTATGATACATTTCTGTTATATAACCGTATAGCATGATTCTCGTTTTAAATGTGACGATTCAAATTGGGATCTGTCCCTACGCCAAAAGAAAAGCATCCGCTGGAATCTGACACAAAATTTTGACCTAGCACTATCAAACTAAAGTGGAATCGATAACTGTTGAAAATAGTACATTGTTGTAAGTCTGTGACGGCTGATGTCCATGGCAGATTAAACGCGTCAGTGAACCTGATCCACTTCCTTTTGATATAAGAAAACAGCCACGTTTCGGAATAATTGTGTGTTGGTTGAAAATCCACACTAGACAGCGGTTTCCCCGTGTTTGATCTTTCCGGCTGTGCATACCTTTGTGTTACCATTTGCAGTCGAATCGTTAAAGTTTTACTAAGTAACCGTAGTGGTCGTCTGAGCCAAATAATCAATGACCAAGAACTTAAGCGTGTGACGTTTCATCATTTATAATGTGGTTTACTCGAGGAATGACGTGCTAAGATATAGGTCCAAGAGGACGCGTGGTTTCCTATTTGCAGGCCTTTGTCTCAACTTGAGCCACGGTTAAAGAAACTGTTTCCCGAGTTAAA